TTTATTGGTTCTTGTATCTTATACTGTTTAGTGTGAAACAGAGTCAGTGTCCTAATGAGTTTTAATATAAGAATTGATTAAATCAGAGGTTCTCAACCTGTGGGTCGCGACCCCTTTGGGGGTCGAACGACCCTTTCACAGGGGTCATCTAAGACCATTGGAAAACACATATATAATTACATATTGTTTTTGTGATTAATCACTATGCTTTAATTATGTTCAATTTGTAACAATGAAATTGGGGGTCACCACAACATGAGGAACTGTAATAAAAGGTCGAGGCATTCGGAAGGTTGAGAACCACTGGATTAAATTATTACATCAACTCTGTAAAATAAATGCTTGTATTCTTCTACAGGAAGGTTAAATCACTTACACAAAGTCATTCATTTAGAAAGTGTTTTAACCACCATTAAAAAGCCAGATTATTTGAATTCAGAATTCTCATTTCTAACCATTACAAATGGTTAGAACCAAAGAGTGCCCTTACGAATACCATTACTAACAAATACTAAGTTATGCATATCAGACAGCAAAGGTATTTAAGTTGTCACAATAAGATAATTTTTTTCCATAAAATGTATTACATGTTGTTGAAATACACCAACTTAAAAGCTTATGTTCATTTTTAAAAATATCACTATAGACTATCTAGTCCTGAAAAGTTTTCTAAATAAAGTCATACTTCCAACATCAAATGTTTTATTTGAGCATGCCCTAACCAGTGGGGGATTGATGAAAGTGAAGGGAAACCATTATTTTTCAGTTAAAATGATCCAACTATTTAGTTTCTCAGGGTGTTAGAACATACACACTACCATCTCCATCAGCCTTTGCATCTCCATCTGCTGCCAGATAGTTCAGCTCTTCTGGAAAATATTTCTTGTATTCCCCATGGAGATGATATGTTGGCTTACCCTTTGAGCAAAGTGCTACTTTTATGCTTTTCATGTTGTTTTATTTGTTCAGATAGTTCTACTTCCCTACTTAAGATTGTGGAACCATGTATATTTCAAACCTGATTTTCTTATTCTTATGTTAATACTAGAGGCCTAATGCACAAAGATTTGTGCAAGAATGGGCCTTCCTCCCTCTGGCTGCCGGCACCATCTTTCGCTTGGCCGGACCTGCCTTTCTGCCTTTGCTCAGGCCAGAGCTGCTTTTCTGCCTTCCCACACTGCCCAGAAGCCAGGAGCGGCTGGGGCAGTATGGAACGCCTATGTCGTCACCTTGGCAACAACCCAAGCATCCGGCCCTGCCCCCGGCTGCTCAGTGCCTGCATATGCAAATTAACTCACCTGCTTTGTTGGGTTAATTTGCATACTCACTCCTGATTGGCTGGTGGGCATCACGAAGGTACAGTCAATTTGCATCTTTCTGTTTTATTAGTGTAGATAATACCCAGACATACATAAAGGCATGCATGCATATGAGGGGGAATAAAAGCACCCCCCAAGTAAGTTTAGATATTATAGCATTATCAAACTGAGCACCAGGGCCCTGGTTGCCATCCTGCTCTGTGTCATCATACGGCTCAAACTAAACTGCATCATAGTTTCCTCTACAGAAATCCCTGAAACTTCTTTCATTTTGAAAAACTGTCCACCTTTCTTTCCTGAGCAATATACTAGGAGAAGGCACACTCTTATGTTCGCCTTTCCAACTTATTGCCTAAATGTGGAGTGATTTTTTATTATTTTAGTAAAAAGTGGTTAGAACCAGATCCTAAAACCTCAGAAGGTTTCATTATCCAAGTTCCAATGCAGTGTTGCTGCTGTTTTAAGGTTGTATACAAACAGCTGGACAGTGCTACTACACTATAGTTAAGAGTCTGCCCTTTGCAACAGTGATATGGCCTGGGCAAAGGTATTTTAGACATACCCTGTTACAGCTGGAAGAAAGGCGTTTCTTAGTTTATATCCATGTTGTAAGGCTAAGTAGGGGATAAACACCTAGAGCAGGTTTGTTTGTTTTTTGAATCTTTTTATTTCCAAGGATGCCTTTGGCAGTCAGGTAAAGCTTATAGATCTATTTAGAATAAAAATTTAAATTTATAGAAATGGAAAATATAAGACAAAACACATATATTTGTCAATTGAACAAAAAACAGCAAAATGCCCTTGGTTATTGTTATATTGCCTTGTGGTACAAGTCTAATGATCATTTGAGAAATGCTGTAAATATAATGCAATATAAAATAAGTGATTTCTACTGATTTAATAGTCACAGATACAGTTACTATCACTATAGATTATGCTAAAATTAATAATAGAAAGAAATGCTAAATTCCAGTTATAGTTTATAGAAAATAATGATACACTTTTTTTCTGTCCCTAATCTTAGCTTCTCTGCATTCCATCCACATACCCCAGCTTAGTAGCCTCAGTCGAGGGAAAGAAGCAGATACTTGTGACCTGGCAGAGGACAAAACACTCAGAATAGGTCCCAAGGACCATTGGTGAGAATCAGTAAACATTAAATTAGCTAATAAACCTTTTTTTAAAATAATTTGACTATATCATTGTGCTTTTATTTATAAAAAGTAGGAAATTATTAATTAATGCATTGTATATTAAGTTTAGAAAGAACCTTTTTTTCCTACTGCACAGTTCACTAGAGTACAGTTATATCTCATTTTTACTGAACAGTCTCCAAGATGATTCCGGATGTAGCTGAGCACTTAAAGCCCATTATGTGGGGGTTAACTAAAGATACTTCTAATGATTTTTTAAAAATTCTTTTTCCCAATTAGTAGGAGCTGCGGAACGTGTGTTGGCTAATATGACGATGGCATTGCTCAAGCTTTTAAGGAGTTATAAAGGCCTCAAGAGCCAATGTGAAGAATGATCTCAATGTAAATGAGTGCCCTTTGTACAATCTTGAAAAAAGGATTGAGAAAAAAATAGACATTTTTGAGGCAAAATTTCCTTATTTTTCAGTGACACATGAATAGTATTGACAAAACATTTAGCTGCCCTAAAGTAAATGACCCATTCATTATTTTTTCAGGCAATTTGTAAATGTGCTTTCAGGAAATTTTCATTATTCTTAATTTTTCATTATGTATAAAATCAGCGATGTGGTCCATTATCAATAGAAAATTTACATTTGCAAACAATATGTTTTTTCTTGTTTTTAAATTGTATTTTAATTACATAATGTATTTATTTTGCATTTGTTCATTATAAAATGTATATATTAAATTAATTAATATAATAAAAATAAGAAAGTATAACATATGTGGGAATATTTACAGTTAACTTGATACTATAGGTGTATATAGGTACATGTATAGGTAATGATATAGGTAATAAACAAAAAACAACACAGAGATTACAAGTAGTAAAATTAACATTTTCACCAAAGAGCTTGACTGCAACTGTGAAAGTCAAGGAAGTCCTCAGTAACAAGGTATTATCTGAGACATCTTGTAAGATGAGTATAAGCTTAAAATGTGTTTGTATTTTATATTGTAAATATAAAATACAATAACGTGTGATATTTCAGGTCTTAAGCAGGCTTTCAAAACCAGATCAATAAAGGAGTCTAAAAAAACATATATGCACTATGGGAAGGAATGAGATCGGTAGTATATCCATATTTATGTGTATAATATATGTTGTATATTTGTTATATGTTGTATATATGCTGTATATATTTATGCATACATGTACCTATGCACTATATAGACATGTAACAGATGTATAGAATGCACATATCTGCATATATGAGCATATATGAATAATGTTTTACATATATTCCATTGAGTTATTAAGAAAATATTAAATTGGTGTTCAGCTTTTCTTGGCATAATAATTACTGTAGCTTTAAATTTTTGGTATATTTAAACACACTATCATTTTGGAGGAATGAAATATTTACAGTTGGCTAAATGCATTAGCTGTAATTGAATAAAGCTTTTTCAATATCAGGGCTCCATAGAAGAGTGAATATTGAAAGTAGATTAATGAAACTACAATATTTACTTCTTTATCATTTCAGTGTATCTAGTCATTGGCCCAAAGACCCTATATTTGCATATGATACTTCTTTTTTATCCAATCTTAGCACTTCTCACACCACACAAACGTCACTCACAGAAGTATGCTATATTTAATTTAAATCTGAATTATGGATCTCACTGTATATATATTCTCATTCTCTCTCTCTCTCTCTCTCTCTCTCTCTCTCTCATTAAATAGTTTTAGTTGTGCTGTTTGCTGCATTGAAGAGGCAGAGGAAAAAGGAACCTCTGATCATTTCAAAGGACGATGTCCGGGACAACATCGTGACCTACAATGACGAAGGCGGCGGGGAAGAAGACACACAAGCTTTCGATATTGGCACGTTAAGGAACCCAGAAGCAAGAGAAGACAGTAAACTGAGAAGGGATGTGATGCCAGAAGCGATTTTTCAGATCAGGAGGACTGTGCCTCTGTGGGAAAATATTGATGTACAAGATTTTATCCATCGAAGATTAAAAGAAAATGACTCAGACCCCAGCGCACCCCCTTACGATTCACTGGCGACGTACGCCTATGAAGGGAACGACTCCATAGCAGACTCACTCAGCTCGTTAGAGTCGCTCACAGCAGATTGTAACCAAGATTATGATTACCTCAGCGACTGGGGGCCTCGCTTTAAAAAACTGGCCGATATGTATGGGGGTGATGAGAGTGACCGAGAATAGAGTATTGTATGACTTGACCCATGTTAGTGGAAGTCCTCTGTGTTACCGGATTGAGTGGCCTGTATTCTCTTCCTTGAAGGAACATTTAAAAAAAATCAAAATTACAAACAATACTTAGGTGTTGTCTTAGTAAGGGTTTGCTTAATCAGTAAGTTTCTGTGAATGAATATGAATGACATAGTTTTTTTTAAAGTAATAATATAATAACCAGTTCACCCTCTTTGCCTAACAATCTATGAAGGAAAGTATATCACATCAATAATCAACAAAAATATATAAAGGCTTTTTGTGCCTTTCCTTAGATATAATAACTTTATAAATGTTTTCTTAACCGACTTAAAGTCACCTTTACTATTAAAAGAATCATTGTGCAACTGCTTTGTAAATTAAAATGGGAAAACATATCCCTAAAGAAATAGGAATGACTATTACTGACATATTTATTTAGTTGAAGAATGTATTGGTGTTAATTTATTCATATTTTTATAAATGTATATTTATATTTTTGTATTTTTATGAAATAAACTAGTATTTATAAAAATAAATTTCATTTTATGTAATTCTTAGAAGCTGTTCTGATTTCACTTATAATAGAAAATGTTTACATATTTAAAACTAAAACATGATTTACTCAGGGAAAAAGCAGTTAGCTATGTTATTATATGTGATTTGAACTATGAATGAGCATTAGTATAAATTGTGAAAATCTATTTTGACCATTTAAAAATGGACAAGTGTTTATTGAGCCACTGGTACCTACCCATCAATAGGATATGAGACACATTGGAATATAAAATGTAAATATAATTGTGAATGATTAACTCTGTTTCTACAGTTCTTTACTATGGAATCAACCAGTGAATTTGCAGAGTAATTCTGTCAGTATTGTTATGTAGATGAAGAAAAATATCTGAAGCACTCTTCCTCCATCAATAGTAGTTTTCAGAATGAGAGATAATAGTTCTGATTTTTTTCTTCATGATTAGACAATTCATGGAATATAACTTGGGGAACATTTAAAGTATGTGTCAACAAACTAGAGATGTTTTTTAATTGATCCTTTTATTGAGAAGTTGCAAAGTCATTGTATTTGAGTAAATCTTGGAAGAACTAGTGACATGTAGACTGAACTCAAGAAATCCTAAGGAATATGAAATTTTACTAATTATTGGATTGTCCAGAAAACAGAACATAGATCATCCTCACACACAGGAAAGAAGGAAGAGATGGAGAATTGTGCATAATAATTATTTGTAATTATTGAAAGAATGACATGAAAACTTTCCCTGGTTTGTCCTGGAGAATATATCCTAATCAAAATGATAGAAATTTCACAGGGAGATCACTTCTTATTCATTTTCTGAGAAAATAATTATCCTTTTGTTTTTCCTTTATTACTTATTCTTTAAGAAGAAAAATGACATGCGCAGAGCATTTCCTAGGTGAAATTTATACAGAAATTTAACATCAAACAGTCTGTTACAAGACCTTTAAATAACATATTCCGACTAAATCATAAAGAGGCACTTTTGTGTTCTGTTATATTACTATACAGTAAAATTTTTGAAAACTAAGACTATTTTAATACTTTTATGACCAATAGCTATACATATTGAAGATTTAATTTAATGCAAAGAAGAAAACATATTGGGCATTTAAGAATTTTTTTCCTAATCATAAAATGTCTCAGAAAACAGAAAGTGTTTAGGTTTAGTTTAGAAAGTCTTAGTTTTTACCTAAGAAAGTAATTCCTTTCCCCACTGCTAGAGCTCTTTCAGCATGAGTCAAATATTTGAGGAGGAACCATGGTAGTCAGAAAAAAATAGATCATATATCTATTAATACCTCTTATAATCCCTTAATTCTATAATTACTAGGAAGATAAGTGAAAATAAGTAAACAGATTCTAAGGAGGCCTATAATGACTACATATATAATAGTTGCTTGATAAAGAAGAAATGATGTCAAGTCAGAAATGGAGAAATTAACAGTTACACCTTTGCCTGTTTGGTTTTGCCATGCTTTAAATACTGAACATACCACAGAAAACCATGCTGACTACAAGGTTATGTCTATAATTGCTTTGATAAAATAATATTTTACCAGATATTAGATAGAATTTTTAATCTCCATTTTGAAAACTGTTAATTTGACTACCATTTTTCAATCCAATAATGAAGTCAGATTCACAGTTCTCCCTTTTCTTGATCTGGAAATGACTGATTATTGGGACAGAAGAAAGATGTTTCATATTTAGTAGGAATATTTAATAATTATTTTGCTATTAATTAGATCTAATTTTATCAATAAAATTCCAGATCTAGGTAGTATTAATACTTCCTATAATTTTCCAATAATGTAGGGAATTCCTATTGTGGGAAATATATAACTCTAAGAATAAATATAGGTTGATAATAGTTTATATGAAATAGAAACACCTACTCTTCACGTCTCTCTGGTCAAACATCAAAGCACAGACAATGGGTCTTATCTGACTTGCTATGTTTGTTATTGTTTGACAAAATAGTGTTAAAAACTGGTACTGAAAAAGCACCATGTTATTGCCAGAATTTTACCTCTAAATAAATCCCTCTGGATTTTTTTTGAAAAATCTATTAGTGAGCTAAAGCCATTTTTCCCTTATATTTATGTCACTCAGTTAATTTCATAAATTGCCAGCTCATGTGTGACAGTGTTCTTTTAGATAGTTATTGTTGTTTCTAAACATATAATTATCTAATTTGTATAGCAGTCATTTTCAATAATATATTATGAATGACTTTCACAAATATGTGGCTTTGTTTTGACTATAATTAATTTTAATATTATCAAAGTTAACTATGCTACGGTTTATGGTTTCCCTGCTATTATTTGCTTGGTTTTCTATGTGCCCGTATTATTAATTCGGCTCCAAACACTTTGTCAATCATCAAATTTTCTCTCAAGATTCTCAAGCACAAAAAAAGGAGTGAGCCAATCTCATCTCCTTGAAGAAATCTTATCCTGTCACGGAACCGCTCCAGTGGGATGGACTAATGGCCCTCTATTCCAGGTGCATCCTGGCGCCTCCTCCCTCAATCACCCAGGCCATTCCCTGGATCTCTTCTTCAGAGTTGCAGTCCTGAGTCCCACAGCTCCGTTCGTTTGCTTCCCTTGTTCCCCCTCCCCGTTATATTGAACCTAATTTGATCTACATATCTCCCAAATGACATTGCTTATCTGTGTCTAATATAGTAGTTCCACTATGTCTTAAACAAAAAATATTCCTTAGTAATCAATCCATTCATTTTTATTTTTGCTCTAGATGTATTTGTTACCCTGAAGTTTCATTAGTATTTCTGAAGTGTTTAACTTCTTCGTGACCAGAAACTTATCTTTTAGACACTTAATTGTTTAATTTTTATGACCTGCCTGCTCCTCACAGGCATTAGGCATTTGAGTTTGTAAGTCCTATTATACAACACTGGCCAGAACTCTAAAAATTTATGAATGCTATTATTAATGCATCTATTTTTATTTTTAATTACTATGTTTAGTATGTAATTACTACTGATACTAATCACTTCATACATATGGGTTATAAGAAAATATATTTTTAAGTGATCATATTCTTGAGAGGAATGTAAACATTCAGATCAGCTTTTGCCTGTTACACTATACCCACTCAATACGACTTTTCAGTGTATAGTATCCTAGAAAATTTATTTACTACCTTTTGTATATTTGAAAATGCATATCTCACATTCACTTGATAATCAACTACAACATTATTTATATGATAGCAATTAAAAACAAATCAAGTATACAATGCCTATATGTTTATTAGAATTAAAATTATAAGTACCAGAGGATGCAATATTTATAGCCACTCTTTAATACTTACTTTTCATGAATGCCTCAGTTGTGTGATATATTTCAAAATTTATTTTTTATAGAAAATATTGGTACTTTAGTCTATTTAGTACAGGAATAATATACTAAGAAAAGTATGATTTTAATAAAAAGTATTGTTTTGCATTATATATTATAATTCAAATTATAATTTATTATAATTATACTAAAGGCCCAATGCATGAAATTCATGCATCGGGCAGGGGGGTTCTCCCTCAGCCAGGCCTGCACCCTCTCTAATCCAGGACCCCTCGGGGGATGTCCGACTGCCTCTCACAATCCGGGACTGCTGGCTCCTAACCACTCGCCTGCCTGCCTGCCTGATCGCTCTTAACTGCTCCCTTGCTGGCCTGATCAGGCGCCCAGGACCGTGGGGTAGCAGCTTGTCCCTCACCCAGAGTGCAGCCCCAGCCTCTGGTACCTGGGACCGGTGGGCAGGCAGCTTGTCTCTCTCCCGGGCTGCAGCCTGGCTGGTCCCCGTTCCTCTCTCATGAGCTCATTTGTGCATAGCTGATCCCCATTACTCTCTCCCCAGTGTTGAGTATCTGAGCCATTACAGCGTGACGGCATGATGGCGTGATAACCATTTGCATATTAGCTCTTTATTATATAGGATTTTATAATTATTCAGTATATTATATCAACAAATATATTTTATTGAAATGATTTTATGTAAGTTAATGATTAATTGCTTTATTAACTTTGTAAAATCCTTATTAAATGCTAAAATGTGTAAGAGGCTAGTTGAAAAAAAATAGTACAATGCTGAACCCATTTCTTTTAAGAGTTTAGAATTTAGTTCAATAGATAAAAGAAAAAACAAGTAACTAAATGGTAAAGTGGCATCTGATTAGGGCTTTGAAATTATATTAAGGTTAAAAAGGTAAGAAATATTTTTGGCTTCACATGTGTTTTCCAATTATATCTTTTACAACCAGATGAGCCCTGGCCAGGTAGCTCAGCTGTATGGAGCATAATCCTGATGTCCCAGGTCAGGGTACATACAAGAACAACCAATAATGCATAGGTAAGTAGAACAACAAATAGATGTTTCTCTCTCTCTCTCTCTCTTTTTTTTCTCTTTCTCTCACCTTCTTTCTCTCTCTCTCTCCCCTCTTCTCTGTCTAAATCAATCAATAAAAATTTTTAAAAATGAATGTGAATTATTGTATCCAGTAAAAATAAATCATATTCAAATAAAATATGGTAAGAAAATATTCATACTTAAACTCAGCCAATTTTAATATTAAAATTTGAGGCCAATGAATAAAGTGTATGGCTTTTTTGGTCATGTGCACTCAATTAAATCAAAGTGTAGCTAGGACCAGGGAGGCATTTTGATGGCCTTCCCATCGGTCCCCTACCAGCACTTTCTCCCATGTGTTTTTTAATTTGTCAAAAAGCAAACATTTTCTCAAGTACTGAGATAACTTTTCGGTGATTGAAAACTTTATCTATTGCCAAAGGTAAAATTAAGGAAAACAT